TTTTTTTTTTTTTTTTTTTTTTTTTTTTTTTTTTTTTTTTTTTTTTTTTTTTTTTTTTTTTTTTTTTTTTTTTTTTTTTTTGAAGAACTATCTTCAGTCTTCGTACCATCATTGTTTTTATTTTATTTTATTTTATTTTATTGGGTAAACGTACAGTAAGAAACACTAGGTTTGTTCATAGTTTTGCTTGGACTCATTTAGGGATGGTTGTTACACAGGTTATAGCTATGGAAATGTAAAAGGCAAAGTTTCTAACGCACATCATATTGGCTTCTCAAAATTCATGTTTACTGCAAAGGAAATGTACATTGCATGGTGTTTAGCAATTCAAGCATTTGAATGCATTTATGTGCACATTTAAACAAAGTCATTCTAGTATGCTATGTCTAGTCGAGTGTAAGTTATGAAACTAAGTCATTACATTGAGCTATATTCATTTAGAGGATGACTCTCTAAAATGTTATGAAAATAAGTCATTACATTAAAAAGAAAACACAGAGTAATTGCCATGTGAGAAGAATATAGAAAGCTTTACATTCTTGATGCTTAAGGTAAGATTTGGATTACCTGGTTGATCGAGTATTTCAAGGCAAGATCACTTGTTTGGATTACCTGGTTGATTGAATATGTCAAGCTTGAATGATTCTAAGCATGCAACCTAAACTACAAAGAATTGCAAAAAAAAAAACATAGCCATTGGCTAAAGGAAAACACAAATGCTTTTTTTACTTCAATTCCAAGTTTACTTTACAAATACAACATACATGGCTTTATATAGCCTCAAAATAAAAACCCTTAACCTTCCGCATTCCAAGAGTTAGAACTTTCATAACCATTATTAGCCACCGTGTAAATGTAACTTTAAAGTAAATAAAAAGTCTTAAAATACATTAATGAAATACCATAACTTTAAATTATCATCCCAAAAAATTTGTAACCATTTGAGAATAAAAGAAATCCATTTTCCTTGAAGTTCATATTGCATGATTGAGATGCCTTGGTTCATGCCAATAAGTTTCTTATCGTGAAAGAGGGGATGGAAGTGACTCCATTACTAGCGAGCACTCTTTGTTTTTGACCTAGCCAATCTATATTTCAGAGGACATATTTGACTTTGTTGGACCATAAATTATTTTTCCCTTCTTGAACCTAGTTGGATCCAAACAAAAGAAGGCCGAACTTGAACATTTTTTAATATGAAGCAATACGATTTGCAGAACCATATATCCTTAGAATTTAAGGACTTAACCTACTGAACAGATCCTATTCCTATTTAAGAAAAGTCATAAACTATATATCCTTACAGTATCAAGTTTTGCATCCACTCTCCAAATTTCTTCTTCAATTTGCTTTAATTTGTTTTTATCTCTTTGAAGTGTGATTAAGATGAACTATGTTTGCCTCCTTGTTTCTTCTCTCTTGGCTAACAAATTTTTTCCCACTTCATATTTGCTTAAAATCATGCGCCATAACTCACCATATCCTCTCAAATAATTGATAGATGCACTTGATTTCTGGTTCTTCGATCCAAGTCCTAAACCCCTTCTCTAATGTGGAAAAGAAACCATAATTGTTATTTTTTGGTGGGCTTGTCTTTTATATGCCTATATATCTTTTCATTTCTCTAATGAAAGCGCAGTTTCTTTATTTCTTTCAAAAAAAAAAAAAAAAAAAAAAAAAAAAAA